TTTTTTTTTTTAAAGGAAAAGTGAAAAAGCTAGGGATTGTACTACAGGAAAAATACTGAACAAGAGTAAAGAAACCTGTGTTCTTTTCCCTGCCTCTGTTGCCTTGATCTCACAGAATTTTAGAATTCATGAGCATGGAAAGAACTTAAAGGGACATAAGCTTCAACACTTAAAGCAATTTAGCTTTTTTTCAACTATGAAGTTTCTGCAATTAAAGAAGCCAGTAACTTCAGGATCACTGCAATAGCATTTTAGAAACAGTTCTAATCACTTCCCCCAAGGAGCAATAATAGAAGTAATCATACTTGTGAGGATATCAGAAACTCAATACCATCACAATATAAGGGGACTTCAAAAAATTCATGGAAAAATGGAATTAAAATATAATGGAATTTTTTCCACGAACTTTTTGAAATCCCCTTATGAGTATTTATGTGTGTTTGTGGTCATGATCAGGCTTTTAAAGATTCACAAAGAGGATGTGAATACAATACAATTTAGTAGGTTAGTTACGCAAGCAAAACACTGTACACTAGTCTGAGATGAAGATTAAGACTGAGCAGTAGAAAGGAGACAGGGGCCTAAATTGTTTATACAACTTTTAATTAATACAATTTCTTGTCCTTTGTTGACTATACTGCATGGAAATGAATGTAATCCCTTGTTTACCAGGCCAAAAAAAAAAAAAAAAAGTTGAAACATGGACAAAATACTGACTGAAACACAAAGCATCAAATCAAGATGAAAGGAATACACAGTGACTGTACTAAAATGAAATAGTCAGTGACCAATCATTTCAATAGGCAGCATATGATCAAGAGCCAGTAGTACTGAAGGAAGAAGTCCAAAAACCTTGTTTGCTGAAAGTGAAAAGCACTTAAAACGTTTACTGATGAAGATCAAAGAGCACAGCCTTCGGTATGGATTGCATCTCAATGTAGAGAAAACAAAAATCCTCACCACTGGACCAATAAACAACATTCTTATCAATGGAAAAAAGATTGAAGTTGTCAAGGACTTCATTCTTCTTGGAGCAACCATCAACACTCACGGAAGCAGCAGTCAAGAAATCAAATGACTTATTGCATTAGGCAAATCTGCTGCACAAGACCTTTTTAAAGTGTTGAAGAGCAGAGATGTCAGCTTGAGGACTAAGGTGCACCTGACCTAAGCCATGGTATTTTCAATAACCTCATATGCATGCAAAAGCTGGACAGTGAAAAAGGAAGACCGTAGAAAAATCGATGCTTTTGAGTTATGGTGTGTGAGGAGAATCTTGAAAGTGCCATGGACTTCTAAAAGAACCAAGAGATCTGTGTTGGAAGAAGTGCAGCCAGAGTCCTCCTTGGAGACTAGGATGGCCAAACTTCATCTCTCATACTTCGGACATATTGTCAGGAGGGACCAGTCTCTGGAGAAGGATATCATGTTTGGTAAGGTGGAGGGTCAGAGAAAAAGAGGAAGACCCCCAGCAAGATGGCATGGCAAAGTGGCAGTGTCAATGGGCTCATGTGTGGCAACAATTGTGAGGTTGGTCCAGGACTGGTCAGTGTTTCGTTCTGTTGTACATAGAGTCGCTATGAGTTGGTACCATCTCGGTGGCACCTAGCAACAAACAACAACAACACTGAAAGCATTGGCAAAAAGCATAGCTCCAGGAATTGATGGAATACAAATATAATCTTTCGACAACCTGAAGCAACACTGGAAGCAGTTACTCATCTATGTCAAGAAATCTGAAAGACAGCTACTTGGCCAACTGATTATAAGAGATCCATATTGGTGCTCATTCCAAAGAGAGGCAACCCAATGAAATGCAGAAATCATTGGACTATATAATTAAAATTATATGCAAATAAAATTTTGCTAAAGATAATTCAAAAACAGCTGCAACAATACATAGATAGGGAACTATCAGTGTTTCATGCTGGATTTAGGTAAGGCTGTGGAATAAGGGCTATCATTGCTGACATCAGATGGATCTTGAATGAAAGCAGAGAATATCTCAAAGATGTTGACCTGTGCTTCATTGACTATGCAAAGACTTTTGACTGTGTGGATCATGACAAGCTATGGATATCATTGAAAGAATATTTATTCCAGAACACTTAGCTGTGCTCATAAGGAATCAGTATACTGAACAAGAGGAAGTCATTCAGACAGAAAAAGGGGGCAATGAATGGTTTGAAATCAGGAAAGATGTGCACCAGGATTTTATTCTTTCACCATACTTATTCAGTCTGTATACTTTACAAATAACCTGAGAAGCTTGATTATATGAAGAAGAATGTGGCATCAGGATTGGAGGAAGACTCATTAACAACCTGCAATATGCAAATGATACAACCTTGCTTGCTGAAAGCAAAGAGGACTTAAAATACCAAAGAAGACAAAGTCTTCATTATGGATTGCACCTCAATGTAAAGAAAACAAAAATCTTCACCACTAGACCAATAAATAACATCGTGATAAATGGAGGAAAGATTAAAGTTGTCAAAACTTCATTTTCCTTGGATCCAACATCAACATTTGTGGAAGCAGCAGTGAAACAATAATGTATTGCATTATGCAAATCTGCTGCACAAGACCTCTTTAAAATGTTCAAGAGTAAAGATGTCAGTTTGAAGACTAAGGTGTACCTGACCCAAGCCATGGTATTTTCGTTGCCTCATATGCATGTGAAAATTGAACAGTAGATAAGAAAGACCGCAGAAGAATATTTGAGAATATTACAAGTATTATGAACTGCTAGAAGAACAAACAAATCATGTTGGAAGAAATATAGCCAGAATGCTCCTTAGAAGTCAAGATGGCAAGACTTCATGTTTCATACTTCAGACATATGATCAGGAGGGACAAGTCCCTGGAGAAGAACATCATGCTTGCTAAAGTGTAGGATCAGTGGAAAAGAGAAAGATCCTGAACAAGAAGGATTGGCACAGTGGCAGCATCAATGATCTCAAGCTTAATGATGATTGTCAGGAAGGTACAGGATAGGGCAGTGTCTCATCCTGTTGTGTATAAGGTTGCGATGAGTAGGATTCAAATGACTCGACGGCACCTAACAACAACACAAAGGAGTTTTGTAGTCCTTGCCCCAGCATGGCAGGGACCATGTGGCTGAGGAGTCAATGACTAGCAATGTCGGCACAGATGAGAAGATGTGCTCCCGACCAAAGGACTGTGTCCTGAACATTTCAGATCCTGAACTGTAATGTTAACTTCCCTAATAAATTTCATAATAAAATTCAATATTGTCTGCGAGTTCTCTGTGACTATTGCAATGATTATCGAACATCACAAAGAAGTAGAAAATGCTGTGGGAAGGAAGTTAGTGTCCGAACTGTTCAAAGAGGAAAGTGGGAGGAGACATTTATGACCTCTGCCTCGTAGTAATCAGCCTTGCTGTTGTTGTTGTTATGGGCCGTGGAGTCGGAACAAACTCATAGCAACCCTGCACAGGGTTTCCGAGGCTGTAAATCTTTATGGGAGCAGAAAGCCTCATCTTTCTCCCATGGAATAGCTGCCTTAGGCTCATAGCAAATTTGATTCTCATTCTCCCTTGTGAAGTCAGAGGAGATCAGACATGCCCCCATGTCATTTTTGCAGGTGCTAACTGAAAAGTGTGATGCTGTAGGATGTGCACTGGTCTGTAAGTTTGGTATGACCAACACAATCGGCAGTTCAAACTCACTAGCCTCTCCTTGAGTTAGACTGAGCAAAAGACATTTAACAACAACAACTGAAAGGTTGTTCAAACCCACTTTTGGTTTTACAGGAGAAAAGACCTGGCAATCTGCTCCCATCAAGACTGTTGTTGCTGTTATGTGCCTGTGAGTCAGTTAAGACTTACAACAACCCTGTATATGGCTTCTGAGGCCGTGCGCCTTTGTGGGAGCAGAATGCCTCTCCAGGGGTTGGCTGCTGGGCTCGCAGCCCAGTGCTTATTGTACAGAACCACTGTGCTCCCTCTATAAAGATTGCAGCCTAGAAAATTCTATGGGACAATTCTACTCTGTCATATAGAGTCCCTATGAGTAAGCATCGACTGATGGAAGGCACACAACAACACTGTGTGACGGTTGCTGTTATTAAGTGCTGTCAAGTCGGTTCTGACCCATAGCAAACCTATATAGGGTTTCTGAGGAATGGCTGGTGTGTTTGAACTGCCAACCTTGTGGTTCAAACCGACCTGTGGTCAAGTGCTTATCCTACAGCGCCATACTAAAGGCTCTTATAAATGTGCATAGCATTTAGAAATGGAACTGCTCTTAAAATTCTTCCAAACTGTAAAGATTCTTATCAATTAAGTAGTCAACACCGCTTTACAACATGAAGTAGATGAGTGGTATTTAGAAATAATTGAGCTTCATGGACTTCTGGGGGGAAAAATTTCACATTTTAAAGTTGGTGGTTGTTGTTTTTAAGTGCGTTTGAGCCAGTTCTGACCCATAGGGATCCTGTATAAGAAGTGGTTGGTGAGTTTGAACTCCCGACCTTGCAGTTCAAACTGATCTTGCAGTCCATTGCATTAACCTGCAGCTCCACACCAGGACTCCAAAACATAGAGTTCTTTTGTTGTTGCTAAGTGCTGTTGAGTTGAATCCTACTGATAGCAACGCTGTAAAGGGTTTCCAAGGCTATAAACCTGTAAGGGAGCAAAAGTCTCATTTTCTCCCAAGGTAGATTTGAACTGCTGACCTTTCATTTTATCAGCCCAATGTATAACCCCCATAGCTGCCAGATTCACCTTTAAATTGGCAACCATGAAATATTAACCAGCATTCCATTTCATTGTCTCTTTAATGAAAAAGGCATTGTTGAGAGATATGGAAGTGGTAAAATTAACCGCATTAATCCATTTTAATTAATTCAATATCCATCATTTCAAGGACCATAAATAATGACTTTGTTATGTGAGCTGTTGAATACTAAATTGTAAATCAATTTTTGTAAAAGATAGAAATGAAAGCAGGAAGTAAAACTGGAGGAAATCTTACCTGAAGTTGCTTTTTGTTCTCTTTTCTTCTCTCCTCTCCCTGAAATGAAAAATGGCAGATCAGTTACAATGTGGGCCTTGCGAATATGATGTAACTAACATGAAAGCTCAGTTTACAGACATTTCCAAACACTAGCGCTATGTCAGTCATGTCTGACAAGCTTCTAGAGATGATTGGACACAGTTGACTGACATGAAAAATCCTCTGAAACCAATTTATGAAAGTCAAAAATAAATAAGTAGACTTTAAAAATGCTGCCCTGTTACAAAAATCTTGTTAGTAAGAGTCATGTAATCAACAATAAACCTATAAGGTGCAAATCACCAATAGAAATTGCTGTGTGAAGAAATAGTTGAAATACATAACTCTAGGGCTTCTTACAACCAACCTGGGAAGACTGAAAGGACAGACAACACAGCATGACATGCTTCACAGATACGAATGTTGACGATATAAGAGAATTAAGAGATTATTGCAAGAATGGAGGGGTCTGTGCTTAAGTCTTGGGGAAAGTGGTATTTGATTTGAAATTTGGAGGATGCTCAGAAACTCCATACAGGGTTGCGATGAGTCGACAGCATTTAGCAACAACAACATGGGATACGGGGGATTTGAAATAGGAGAAGGATTGATTCTTGGCAAAGGAAGTGGCATAGGCTAAGTAGAGCAATGTTATCTGAACAAAAAGAGTCAAATTTAGAGCCTGCTTTAGGAAACTGTAGTACAGGTTGTCCATGACTTAAAAAGGATTTCATTCTGATGTCTCCACCATAAGTTAGTGCGAATCCTGTCAAATACCACGCCCACCCCCTTTTTCCATGTTACCTGCTATATATAAGCAGTGTTTTGAATAGTAAATCATAACATTGAACATCAGAGAGTGAACATCTGAAAATTACCTGTTGCAACAGTTTATATTGTATATAACTAGTAATAAATTGTACAAACAACAAAACAAATGATGGAAGTCCAGGCATTTACCAAGTGGGAGGCACCCAGGAGAAGTAGACGCTCAGATGAATAGTTTTGTACATGACTGAATATGGTGGCACAATGAAAAAATGGGCATGGGCATGACAAATGTAGTGTTAGACTTACTGAGTTTGACACGGAATTTGAGAAGTATGAGAACTGAAACCAGGAAACATTTATCTTCAGAAGGTGGCTGAAGCGAGGGAGTGGGTGGGAATATAAAGGTAGATAGCAGAGTGGGCTAAGGAAAATAATTAAGAAACAAAATCACTACTTCCATTTTGTGATGTAGGATGATCAAAAGACAGGAGAAATATCAGAGATCCAGGGAGATGAAGAAACTGCTAAGTCATGTACCATAGATAAAGCCTTAGAGAATTATGGGGTACTAACAGTCCAAGATACTGCTAAATTTATGTACTTGTTGATAGATTGTGAGAGGAGTTTTAGTGAAGAGGGAGTGGTGAGCAGAAGAGTGGTTGATAAGGAAGATGAAGCTATAGATGTGGCTATTCATTCATGAATTTTAGAAACATACAAATGAGCAAGATGGGGAAATAAATTAAGCAATTACCAAATCAATGCTCCCATAAAGATTTATAGCCTCAGAAACCCTATACAGGGTCGCTATGAGTCAGAGCCAACTCCACGGCACATAACAACAACAACAACTAATGGTTGGAACTATTGTGGTTCACACCCACCCAGTGGCACTACAAAAGAATGACCTGGTAATCTACTTCTGTAAGACTGTTGTTGTTGTGTGCCATTGAGTCAGTTCCGACTCATAGTGACCCCACAAATGGTTTCCAAAGAGCTTGTGATTAGCCATCCAGTGCTTATCCTACGGTGTCACAGCAGATTTTGTTGTTGTTGTTAAGTGCCGTCGAGTCGATTCCGACCCATAGCGACCCTGTACAGGGTTTCCGAGGGTGTAAATCTTTACGGGAGTAGAAAACCTCATCATTCTCCCGCGGAGCAGCTGGCAGTTTTGAACCGCTGACCTTAAGGTTCGCAGCCCGATTCGTAACCACTACGCTACCAGAGCATGGACCAGTTCTGCTCTGTAACACCTGGGTCTCGCCATGAGCTGGAATCCATTTGGCAGTAAATGGGCTTGGGCTTTTTGTTTTTGTTTGCTATGAAACATGTAAGCATATTTCTAGGTTTACAATAAGAAACCAGTGTACCAGGGCCAAAGTATATACAAACACTGCTAAGGTGAGCCTTAAAGAGCTCTGGCAGTGTAGTGGTTACGAATTGGGCTGCTAACCTCAAGGACAGTAGTTTAAAACTGCCAGTGGTTCCAGGGGAGAAAGATGAGGCTTTCTGCTCCTGTAAAGATTTACAGCCTCGGAAACCCTGTGCAGGGTCACTATGAGTCGGAACTGACTCCAAGGTACTTAACAACAAGAAAGGTGAGCCTTGGTTTCATGCTGTGTAAATGAGGGTGACCCTTCCAGGCATAAATTCCTTATCATCCATCAACATTATACAAGTGGAGCTAGTTAAAGAACGTTTATGTAACACATGGGAATCCATGTGAACTTCATCTAAGCTTTTCTATCAACCCTTAATGTCTTTTGAAATAGTAAAATAGAAGGGAGGAAAATGTATACACTTTTTTTTTTATGCTGCTACACAGAAAGCAAAGGATTCTTTTAACTGGCCTCTTGATTAATTGCAGATTCTCTTCTGTTGGATGATTTTTAGAGGACATCTTTGATGCAAAATATTTCAATGATTCAAACAGATAAATGGCATGAACTGTCCACTTATAGGCTCCATTCACTGCAAGTGCCAAGAGGTCCCCTTACTTAAGTTTTCTGTTTCTCAAAACTCAGTTTACTATTTGATTACACATTTATGAATACTCATGACCTTAAATATTTCCAAAGAGTTAAAAAATATTATTCAAGCCTCGAATTATAAAATATTTAAAGAAAAAAATCTCTTTGAAGAGTCTATATCTTATATTATTAGAATGAGACAGAAATCCTGAAAGTTGAAAATGACTACATTAAAGAGCTGCAAACTGTGACGTGGTAGGTGTCTCCAAGGAGGACTTAGTGATTTCCACTTTCTGATATTCCATCCTCCCACACTGAATTGACTTCCCTTGTTTAACCAATAGGATGATGCAGAAATGATGGGGTGTGACTTACATATGGTTGCTGCTTCTGTTAAGTGTCATCAAGTTGGTTCTGACTCATAGCAACTTTGTATGTTGTTGTTGCTATGTGCCGTGGAGTCGGTTCCGACTCATAGCGACCCTGTACAGGGTTTCCGAGGCTGTAAATCTTTACGGGAACAGAAAGCCTCATCTTTCTCCCGCGGAACAGCTGGTAGTTTCGAACTGCTGACCTTTGTGGTTCACAGCCCGATTTGTAACCACTACGCTACCAGAGCTCCCGTTGTATGGGGTTTCTGAAAAGAACTGGTGGATAACCACCAACATTGTGGTTAGCAGTCCAGTGCTTATCCTATAGCATGACAGCAGGGCTCCTAACTTCCCACAGTGGGCTCTAATAAACACTGCCGCTTCCATCTTTTCCTCTCTTGGATCACTCCTTTTGAATATGTTGTAAAGACACTCAAACAGCCTTATGGAGACGCCTATGGAGGGACCTGAGGCATCTGCCAGTAGCTAGCATCCAGTATCTGATGTGTGACCGTTCACCAGCCCCAGTCAAGTCTTCAGATGACTGCAGCTCTGGCCAATATCTTATATGATAGACACCTCATGGAAAGCACTGAGGCAGAACCATCTAGTTCTCTGCTCCTGAGTTACCCACAGTAATTGTGTTTCTGTGTTGCTTTATACTGCTATGTTTTGGCGTGACTGTTAAATAGTAATAGATACTTAATAAACATCAGATAATTTTATTATTAACATCTGTGTTAATTCATCCTTACTTTATATATTGCACATATAGACATGCTAGTTACAAGAAAATCAATCAGCCTCCCTAACTTTCTTCTCTGTAAAGTAGGGATCAGATACTGTTTTTTTTTGGATTCGTTTGAGAATAAAATAAATCTACATGCAGAGCCAGCAAGAAACGGGGTCTGCTCTTTCACAAAGGAGACTGGAAAGCATTCAGTCTCATAATTCTGTGGCCCCAAACAGTCCTCTGTGTTACATGAAAGGACTTTAAAAACTGTAGAGTGAAATATAAATTTTCTATTATGCTAATAGTTATGTTATAGAAACCTCCCTAGGCTTCCATTGTTAGTTTTATACGTGCCATGCCATGCTATGCTAAGTACCATCAATCAGTTCCAACTCATAGCAACCCTGTATAGCGTTTCTGAAGTTGTAAATCATTCTAGGAGCAGAAAGCCTCATCTTTCTCCAGAAGAACAGCTGGAAGGCTTGAACGGCCAACGTTGTGGTTTATAGGTCTAATTCTATGGAGCCACTGAGCTCTCAGGTTTATATATTATTGTTGCTATTAAGTGCTATCAAGTTGGTTCTGACTCATGGTGACCCTGTATATAGTTTTCAAGGAGCAGCTGGTGGGTTTGACCAACAATTGTGCAAATTAACCAACAATCTTGTGGTTAGCAGTAGAGCACTACACACATATACAAATATATAAATTAAAATTCACAAAACAAATTAGATAAACAGGAAAATATGTATTGATTAAAGGAAAAAGAGATTATTGTTGTTACATACCATCAAGTAGGTTCTAACCCATAGCAACTCTGTATAGAGTTGCCAAGGAGCGGCTGGTGAGCTTGAACCACTGACCGTGCTGTTCAAACCGTCCAGCGCATTAACACACAGCATCACACAGGACTGCTTAAATAGAGATGGCCCACGAGATTTATTTCTTAGTCTCTATATCTTGCTCTGTATGTTGTTGTATGCCTGTGAGTCGGTTCTGACTCCTAGTTACAACCCTGTATAGAGTTTCTGAGGAGCCGACCTTGATCCTACCGGTGTCACACCAGGATTCAGCATGGTTGACCTTTCTTACTCTCTCCATTTTCATTTTTAAAGACAGTGATGATTCTTAGGTTTATATTCCAAGCTCTAAATTCTCCCCAAGTTTAACGCC